TCTAGCAATATATGAGACTTTTGCTCTCAGCTATAAGTTTATATGGAGTTGAAAAACCATTTTTATATATGTCTCCAAATAGAGGATAAAAAGTTCAAAAACTAAACCATAAGAAAGGGGTTCTGTTCGAAGGTTGGGACGTTGGCGTTGAACGAATCCTCAAACCAAACCCGCTGCAGGCGAGATATTGGACGAATTTGTGTGATCAAGTTGTTTTCCATTATTCAATTAAAGGAGATGGGATGGCAAATTTCTCTGATTTTGAGAACTGCAGTAATCAGCTCACAATTAACCTTTGAAAAACCGTTTAAGCAAAGAACATTTCATTCATAAAAAGATTATTTGTTAGAAAAATTTGAGTTCCAGTCTTCTTCCGCTTCCGCGATTCTAATAGTTCTCAAAGAGTATCGACAAGGAAGTGTTTTGTTTGTAATGCGAGCTGCTTAAAAACAAAATACCTTGTGATGAGTTTTAACTGTAATTTGAGAGAACTCGTGTCATCAGAGATTCTAATTATAACATATAACTTCATCTACGCATGATCCAAAAAGTATGGGAGTAAAGGCAGCTCACTATTGAACAGATGAAAAAAGAGGATTCTTTTTTTAGGAGCTGTTACCCGGAATAAAACCTGTAAGTTTCTGAATGGCATATAGTTAAACGAATTGTTAGTCCAAATGCAGGTTTCCAGATTATCACTAACACTTCTGCTCACTTCATTACAGCATTGGCTGGACGTGTGTAAGCGAGCGAGAGCCGTCAGTTGTCGCACTGTTCTTTATCAACAGCGGCATTGCTCTCCGTCCAGGACAACCTTCGGCTGTCGCGACCTTCCGATTTGGGATGCAGCTCTTCGCGCTGCTCTCCTTGCTCATCGCGCAGTCTTATGGCCAAGTGCTAGAAAAGTCGCGATCTGTCTGGGTCGAACAGGGACTTGTGCGAGGCAAAATTTATAATATTGATGGACGTCATATTCAAATATTTCGTGGCATTCCTTACGCTGAGCCACCGCTAGGAAATCTACGTTTCCACGTGAGTTTGTTTCTTTTTACTTCTGTGGATATCTGATGTTCTGCATTTCTTTTTTTTCCACCTTTCCTACCATTAGTGTCTCAGCTTTGAATATCGAGAAGATTATCCAGAAAAACTACTGAACAGCTT